CATCTCAGATGGTTGAAATTTTGATTTCCGATGATATTCAAAATATTTCTAACAGTCATACGGTTGCCATTTGGTTTTATTGAAACAGTGCAAAGAAGAGAGATGGTTTAATAGGATAAACCAAGAAGAGCCAGAGAGCTATTGATTCGAAACAGATTCTTTTAACAGTTTAGCATGTATTCAGTTTTCATTTGCAAACCAGAGTCAAGGAAGTTAATCCCTCAATAGAAATGTTATTGTGAATAACAGAGTGGATTTTTAAGCACCAGAAAAATATAAAAAATGAAAGTAAATTGGATAATAGCAGTCAGAATAAATATATGTGGATTGCATTTATCTCCTTATTCAGGGTCTCTGTCCAATAATATTATATTACATATATATATATTTTAAAATTAAAACTCTCAAGTAACAACAATGGAAAAGTTCATGAGCAGTTCACTCCTCTAATATAGAAACACCACAACAATGTAAAGGTTTAGAGCCTACAACACCAAGAAAAGAAGGCATATTAGTATATATCCTGTATATTCACTTCTACAAGAGGAAAAATTAAATTTATATTACTATTGTTGTCAGAAATGTCATCAGCAACCGAAAGAGAGAGAGAGCAATTGTCTTAGGATGCAGATCCCCTCTTTACCACAAATGACATTTTTGTGGAATAGCTGCTCGAATTCCAGTTACTGCCTTAACATATATATTTGACTCAAAGTTGAGCCATGACAAATGATGATTTGTATTTTCCTTGCTGCCTGGAAGAATGTAGAAAGTGTTCAGTTTTCTGTATGATGTTATACTCAGCGACACATTCTTCACCTGGCTCTCAAGGTACCTAATATTAACCAGTGTCTTCGTCCGACTTTTCTTATTGCATTTTCTTATTGTATCCTAGCATCTGAATCTAATTCCAAGAAGAGAGCATTTTCCCCAGGACTGGTTGTTTAAGGAAGTTTTATTTCCAGAGGGCTTTGTGAAAAGAGAACACTAAAGCCAGGAGGGAAAGAGTAAACCCAGGTTCTAGACACCAAAGAGAGCACCCAAAGACAGGTCATTAGTTTACTTTTCTATAATTGTTCTGGTCAGTTCTTATTTTGGTTACACTACTATCTTGGAGTCCTAATGGCTGCAAAAACCACTCAAGCCTCACTCTTGTGGTTTTCAGCATTACAAGAGCTATTTGAAAAGAATTATTATTGTCCATAAGTCACAGCTGGCTATTATTTTGTCAAGATAGAGTACAAAATTTCCATAAGACTGTCCATGTATCACTTCAAAAATCAGGTGTTGAATGAAAATTATTTTTTAAAAAAACTCTTTACCCTTAATCTTTTTTTGTAAGTGGTAATTTAAGAAATTATTGGTAAAAATACTAATGTTATTTATGTTTGAATGTTTATTAAGGAAGAAATGTTACCAATCCCAGGGAGTCAAATAATTGGTATTCTAAAATCATATAAGGAAGAAAGGAAAAAAAAGTGGGTCTTTATATGAAGTCCAAAAATAATCAATGCCATGTATCCTACTTAAGTGAAATAAATATTTAAATAGAAGTACATAAACGAGGTTACCTAAAAAATAAAATAAATTTCAAATGCACAAAATACACTTTGAATAATAGGTCAATAAAAAGCAATATTAAAGTAATAAGATGTGTTTCTAGAAAAATAGTATAACATACATTTTACTATTTGAACATAGTTTAATGTTTGGTGTTTACGGCAAGAGGAATACCACATTTTTTTTAGGAACTAAAATATCTGAAAATTGTTGTGTTTTCCTTTCATTAAATGTGTCAACAAAGAGAACTTAAAATCCAGAACAATTAAAATATACAACATAAACAAATAACCACAGCACAAACATTTTATCAAATTACATTAATTAGTTGATTTTGAAAGTTAGTATGGCTAATGTTACCATACAATTAAACTTTCAAAAATCCATGTCTCGGTGGACACATAATTACCTATCTCTACTATGATGTATGAAATGTCATTTATAAGTTTTCAGAATCTTTATTATGTGTTATGAAATGATGTTTTATTTCCTTTTCATTTATTTTGTAAAACCCGTAAGGATTTTCAGTAAGCCTGAGAAATACAATACGGTTGCCCTTTTTAGAGTGGATACTTCTGAGGTCATGATAAGGGTACCCACAGGGAACTTTGGGGATCATGACTTTATTGCAGCTGCTGAATTAACAGCATCTGAACTCACACTAGAATCTCTCATTATACGCTATTGATAGCAGAATGGGAAGGGAGAAGGGAGAGGGGCGAGGGAGAGGAGAAGAAAGTCATAAAACATAAGAAAAATATACTGAGGTGAATTTTGGAAACCACAAGCATAAAAGAATATCTGCTATCTTAGAAAGTGAATGACTTAATTCAATCATTAAATCAAATATGTTCAGTATTTGGGTTCAGTGCTTATTATAAAATTCAGATAATTTGTCAGATAAGTCTTGTTATAATCTTCAGTTTTCAAATTGAGTTGAACTCAGAACAGTGTAACTCTAGAGTGGTCATAGTCATTAAATGGGCCAAACAAATTTCCCTTGGAAACTGAGCAGCATATGTGTATAATAATAGCAATAATAGTTAATATTATTTATCATGCAATACAGTCAATGTAATATTTATACTTGTGATTGTTTGAGTCCTACAGGAATGCTGTGAAGCTAGTCATTATTATGCCCATGGCCGTGATAACATCAGAATAGATTAGGTATTTATCCAATTTCTATTAATTATTATCTGTTGTTTAATAGGCAAATTCAAATGAATATATGTTACAGGACTCCAAAAACTTCATCAGAGACACAGAAATTTTGATTTCAACTTCTAGGACAGTATTCAAAAATTTTTGGAACTTTTGAATGAAGAAAATGTGAATGAATACTCTAAATCATTATATTTTATGATTAAGAAAATGGATGTAATAATACCTGATAAAGTTATCATTAAAACTATATTTAAAATATTATGTATTAAATTATCATAGTTCTTGGCACAGAAAAGATTCTCAATATATAAGTTTGTATGTCTTCATCTGTTAAACTTTAATAGAAAGGGAGAAAGCCTGTGTTTTTAAAAGCCACAGTTGTACACAGCTAATGTCTCTGTTTCTATCTACCCTTAGTTAACACCACATTGAAATCTTTAAACATAATTTGTTAATGGTAAATATGGCATTCTATGTTAATAAATTTTTGTATACTCAGTTATATATTTTGCTGTATGTTTTTGAAGCAGTTTCTACTTTTAAATAATTTCTCACAGTTGTGATATATGTGTATTCCATTTAATGAATATGATACAAAAACTCCACAAAAGTTAAGGTACTTGCTCAAGTATAATGAGTAACCGGGGGTATCAACATAATATTCTTGACTTCTCTGGACTCCAACTTCATATTTACTCTTTCCAATAGTCCCAATGTATTAATCAATTTGGGATAGTATATTTGATAAAACACACTTATTTTTTGTCCAATTTCATAAAAACCAAAGTGTTTACTGTAGTATGAAGGTTAATGTGATTTATAATCATTACATATAAAATGAAATTTTCAAAGATGAATTTCCACATTTGTTGGTATGTAATTAATCAAAATGGTGAACACTTGTGATTTGTACATCTTTATCCACTTTCCTCACCTACAGCCAACATTGCTAGTAGATTGAACCATTCTTTTTTCCCTGAATTCATATTCTATCTAAATCATTTGAAACATGTACACACACACCTCATTTTATTGAGCTTTACTTTATTGTGCTTCACAACTTTTGCATTTTTTTTACAGATTGAAGGCAAGACCCTCCATCAGCAAAAAAGAAAAAGATTACAACTCTATTGCAATACTTGCTTTGTTGCAGTGGTCTGTAAGTGAATCTGAAATATCTCTAAGGTATGCCTGTGTATCATCTTAGGCAACTGCTACCAATCAATCAAGTTGTCCCTTGAATACATCAATATATCTATATACATATATACAGGCTGATTTATGTATTTTGGCACATAGAATAAATTTCTTGTAAATGCTGCTATATAGGCAAAACTTTTAAACTATTTACTTTTGTTTTAGACATCTAAAAATGCGTGATAGAACATAAAGTAGTACAAATTATATTCTTAAGTACTGTGTTTAGTTTTATTCATTGATTTAAATTATTATAGCTGCCATTCATGATCTCTGCAGATAGGTACATGACTGTGTCTAAAACCAGCAGCCCACTTAATTGCACTGCCAGTGGTCTCTATCTTTTTTACAATGGTAAAGACATTATAGGAATTGCTTAGCATTCAACTTTTATTCCATAGTACCCAGGACAGTGCTGTTATATAGCCATTTCTTTTTTTTTAATGAATAAATTTTATATTTTTAGAGTATGTTACATAGTCATTTCTCAATCCATATTTATGGAAGAAAAGAAAGAAGGAAGGAAGGGAGGGAGAGAGAGAAGAAGAAAGAAAAGAAGGGAAGGAAGAAGGGAGGAAGGGAGAAAAAGAAGGAAAGAATGAATGAAGAAAGGAAGGCAGGTAGAAAGAAGAAAATGTGGCACACATAAAGGGGAAAAAAGAAGAAAAAGAAATGAAGAAAAAGAAGAAAAGAGTGGTAATTTAATTATGACTCAGAGTTAAAAATATTTCAAATCATTCAAAAGAAATTCAGGAGGAATTAACATATTAAAACCAATCTGTGCAAAGAAGTTGAATTATGTAATAGAAATACATGTGCTACAGCACTGCATTTTGTTCTTTTGCATAATTAAAAATCATCAAAGGGAACATAGTTTTGCTTTATTTAGGCATGTTGTTATTTTAACCTACTTTCTTTATATAAAACTGTCAATACTTTACATGAAAATGTAAATATCCAAAATTAACTATCATTTTGTTTCTAAAGAGTGATTACATACACAAGTGCAAAAATGATAACAGAGTAATATGTTACTTTTTGCAACTACCAAAATTATTTAATAGATTTATACTTACCAGAATATCTTTTCCAGCCCACTTGCATTCATCCCTTCTGGTGTAAGACACAGGCCACACAATCTAAGGGCAGAGAAGAAACACTATTTTATGCCAATTAAGCTCTCTTAATTCTAGATCCAGCATTATAGTGTGTTAGACCAAGATGATGCAGCTGAAATAAAGTTCCATAAAACATTATGTGGCAGGTACATTTCAGTTTAGACTCTTCAGCAGTATCAGTTAATTGGTATAAATCTAAGTCATTCACTCTTTGTGTATCCATATGGGTTTGCTATATGAGGCCTGTCCAGAAAAAGTCCAGCCATTTTTAATATTAGGAGAATTATTTTCCTGACATTGATGTAACCTGGAAGCTAAGGAGAGTGGACTGGAATGTACATGCCTGGATAATGACTTCATTGTACTAGTCAAGGGGCAGTAGGCACTGTTGGGTGAGCCTGTGCACTGCATGGCCATAGCATTCAGAATGACTGAGTGAGTACAGTAACAAATCTGCATCAAATTTTGGGTTAAGCTCGAACATTCCTCCAAGGAAACTATTCAGATGACTCACAAGGGTTTTGGGGATGATGCAATGAATGCCACTCAAATAAAAGTGTGGCACAAATGCTTCAATGATGGTTGAGAAGGCACAGCAAAGTCTCAGCAAAGATCAAGACCACCTGAATTGTATTTTTTTATTAGGAAGGTGCTGTCCATCACAAGAACGCCCCTCCAGGTGAAACAATTAATAAGCAGTGTACCTCAATGTTCTTTGTCGGCTGAGAGATGAAAAAGGGCCACAGCTGTGGGCAACTGATGATCGGTAGCTTCCTCATAGTAACTTGCCCACTTGTGCATTACATCTTATGCAATTTTTTTTTGTGAAACATCAAATTACCCAGGTGACTCAGTTCCCCTACAGCCCATATTTGGCACCCTGTGACTTCTGGCTTTTCCCAAAACTAAAATCACTTTTGAAAAGGAAGAGATTTCAGACCTTCAATGAGATTCAGGAAAATAACAGCAGGGCAGCTTATGACAATTGGGAGAAATGTGTGAGGTCCCAAGGTGCCTACTTTGAAGGGGACCGAGGTGTCATTGTCCTCTGTACAATGTTTCCTGTATCTTCTTCAATAAATGTCTATTTTTAATAGTACATGGCTGGATATCTTTTGGACAGACCTTGTGTATAAACGCTGAGCAACAAAGAAATTCATGTAGTCAATACAAGCATACCTTGTTTAACTGTGCTTTGTTTTTTATGTTTCACATATGTTGTGTAATAACTTTTTTATTTTTTATTTTTTTTGCAAATTTAATACAAGAGCCTCCACCAGCAAAAAGATTTTGACTCACTTTACCGAGATACTTGCTTTATTGTAGAGGTCTGGAACCAAACCCACCATATCTCCAAGGTATGCCTGTGGAACTAACCGTTTTTTGGTGGAAAGAACTCCAAGGCAGGTTGGGAGAGAGAGAGATCATCTTGAGAGGATGTGAGAATCTAGTAAAGAAAGGTAGAAATAGGCACAGAATATGTCTTGCATTTTTCTAAATGAATCAGTATCTTGAAGTAGTGATTTTGGAATTTTAACATTGGTTGCTCTGGATCCATTTCTCTAATCCAAATCTCAGCACGGCATGCTAGAATGAACAACTTCTAGGGTTAGAAAAAAACCAATCTTGGAAAGAATTTTTTTTTTTTGAGAGGGAAAATAGGTAAGAGCAGCTTTATTTTACTTTCAGGAAATAAAGGAGGAAGTGAAGAAGCAAATAAATAGCTTTAAAAATAATCACCTGCTTTACTGTAGGCAAAACAGACTAATTGAGAAATAATTGTTTGCATTTTTATCCCTAATATTTGGCCTTCATCCTTCCAAAGGTTCCTATATTGTAAGAATTCAGTGACAGTGGTTGATAAACCAAGGTTTTATTGGTGGCTTAGAGGACTGCGGATATATTTCCCCTCAGTAATATTAATGCATATACCCTCATCTAAATTCTAATATAAATTTTTAGTTTCCCTTAGCAATGCCAATGACTTATCTCTACTGGGGCAGAAAAATTTAATGTTCTTTATTCATCCTTCTCTTCTGTTAACATTAATTATTTTTTTTGGCGGGGGCAGAGGCTTATGTAAAAGAAAAATCCAGAGATGGTGGTACTTAATAATTCATGTCAGCTAAAAATCGTTTATTCTCAAAATGACTCATTAGCATTCATTAGGAACCTCAAGATAATTCAATATAAATGGCCATAAACTTGGACAAAGGCTGTGATAGTCAATCTAGGGTATTAACAAGCAAAATACATTTTATTAACAAGAACTTAAAACATATTGAAATAACTATTATGACATAACAAATGCTTTTCAGGTCCATATCACAATTATAAAAGCCCTAAATAATTTTGGACATGCATTCTTTTTTACCATTTGAATATCTTAATTTATGTATTCTTTTCCTTTTCATGTGCTTTTCTTTACATGTATGTCCATGTGTGATGTGTGAATTGAAACTGCTTTTTGACTTGTTCCACAAGGTTTTTACCAAGTAGTCACACAGTCAAAAACACCCAAGAATAGCAACTGCATGCCCTTCCCATTGTCATAACCTGACTCTTGAATTACTAGTACAGTTGCTTGGCAGTTCCATTCCACAGGCTCTGCAGCCTTATCCTCACACTGGCTATAGAAAGGCCAAATGACCTATTCTTGTTTAATGGTTACTGTGGAGGATGATAACATATAAATTATCCCTGAGACTCCACAATAATAACATATACCAGAGCTAAAATTATTCAGTTTCACAGTTAGAGTGTATGAAACTCAAAGATTATTAAAATGTAATTTTTTAACTCAAAAAGAAGTTTTTTTCATGGTTTCCTACATCTTGAGTGTTGTTTTGAGAAAGCATGGACTTCATTTGTTGATTTCTTTCTTATGTGGAAAATTAACATAATTTTGATAATATTCATTCTAAATTCTCTCCTACTAGAGAGGTATGTGTACTTTGAACTCTAGAGTTCCAGACTAATATTGTTAACCTGTTCGTATTTTTTCTTCTATTCTCAAAAACTTCTCAGTTAACTAACAATGTCTAAATTTCTTATCCATTATAATATTCAAAGTGCTTCATGATCTATTTTATACTGTGTGTCCTTATGCTTCTAATCATGGTAGCCCCTCTTAATTAATTATTCAATAAGTGTTTATGCTTTAAAGAGATTGCAACCTTTTATCATGGCCAAGAATCTTTCCATAGTCCTTCCATGCCTGAGAATGTATTTTTGTATCTAACAAGGATTGATCTAGTATTTACCTTTATGTTCATAAACCTTTATCTTTAACATCATTTTGTAAGTTCCTCAAGAATTATGACACTATTGTCATAATTCTTCTATTATGTAATAATGTCTTCTATTATTAGAATACAAATGGAGGGCAAATATGGATTTACAGTTGTTAATATGGAAAATAATATAATAATTAATAAATAATAATACAAGAAAGTCTAATTGGTAGAAGAGGTGCTGTGATATTTCCTGGGCATACAAGTGGTCTTAGGATTTTTCTCATGTATAAAATTATTGGCTATCTTATATGATAATTTAGTCTTTTCAACTATAAAACTAACTGAATATATAAACTAAAAAAGATTATTCAGAAGAAAATGTTAAATACATTAAATATTATATTCTGAAGTGATATGTGCTCTTATATTGTCTATCTATAGATATATAGATGTATACACATATATTTTTATTTATATATGAATTTTAAAAAATGATAAAAATATAAATACCCCAAATTTGAACTGACATAATCTTTTATTATTAAAATGACAAATTTTTATAATCATCTTAGATTGTTTCATTCATTTTTAAATATTCACTAAAAAACAAAAATATGCTTATTTTGTGATCTTTATGAAGGAAACTAAGATAGATAAATGTTGTTATCATTTCAGAAAACTGATGAATAAACAGTTTTCTTGGATAATATATGACCTTAGGATACTGCTATCATCTGGGCTGGCTTAAAAATCGAGTAGATGAAAAAACCAGAAAAGATATATTCAAGGTGATTTTTAAATGTTATATTTTAATTCCAAAGCATTATGTATCAGTATTATATATCAGTATTGCTATTTTATATGCCTGTATGTAATGAACCAAATCTCTTTACACATAGAATTTAAGCATTTCAGGAATAGAAACAAAGTAAGTCTTAGGTTTAGATCCTAGATCTTTAGAGATCTAATTCAACTTTGAATTTAAATCTTCATTTTGTCCCAAAAGCAATATTCTCCAAACAAAACAGAAGCTTTTTACACAATTGGGCTACTTTTAAAAAAAGTATTGTTCAGTCTGTTACAGTTTATAAGAATTTGAGGCACACCACTTTAAAGCCCTATGTGTTAAGCAAAACTAACATACATAAATACTGAAGTGTATTCACCCTAAGAAGCATGTTAAACTAGCACTTGTGTAAAAGCTCTTACATAAAGATCTTTGTTCCTTAAAGAAGGCTGGACATACTGAGTGTGGGAAAATGGTTGATTAAGAGTATAGCATATAGGCTCAGTAGCACAATATCCACACATTTTCAGTCAATGTTTATTTCCAAACTGTATACCTTATTAATTAAATAAGCCAGAAACACTATAAAGAATAAGAATAGAACTGACAAATGACTAGTACCTAACTGACCACACATGTAAAAACCTGACAGTGAAAATTGATCTTCTAGATAAGAGTTTGGCAAACTTTTTGTTTAAAAGACCAGATAGTAAATATTTTAGGCTTTGTGAGCCAGATGATCTCTAACACAATAACTCAATTCTGCCATTGTAGAATGAAAACAGACATAGACAATATGTAAATGAATGCCAGCTTTCCAATAAATTTAATTTACAAGCACAGTTGACGTACCAGATTAGGCATTTGTCTAATGATTGATGACTCTGCATTTGCTGGCAATATAGAGATGTATACATTTATGTTTATGTGTACACACACATAATATATACATACATATTTACATTGCTTATTAAATCAATTATAATATATTTTTATAATGGTTCAAGTATTTATTTACTTTTATGCAGGAAAAATGATATAACTATATATATAAATGATATAACTATATAACTATATCATTTTTGAAAATACTATAGTTTCCTCCTTGAGGATTTTTATGGTTTACTGCATCCATTGATTTGTGATAGTCAAATCAATGCATTTTTGGTTTGCATCTGAAAAGACAAAGTATTCATTTAAACAATTTTTCAGTTGTCACAGTTATATAGCTACAGAATTCTTGAGATGTTTCAAAAGATCTACAGTGCATATATTAGAATAAAGATACCTTTTGAAAATCCTTGATATTAACCAGGTTGAATGAAAATATATGATCCTTTGCTCCAACATACAGCCTGCTCCGTTCCTCATCCAAAAGGAAGGTGTGATAACTAGAGCTGTTGGCCAAGCCATTGAAAGTGACCACATTGTTGGATTCCAACATTTCTGCAAGGTAACAGAGCAAGACATTGGATGTTAATCTGAGGTCCTACATTAGAATAGGTTTGGTATATGGTGATCTGACTACTGCCGGCTGTAGTTACCAATCAATGGTTTCTCTTCACAGTATTAAAAAAATATATACAGAAGCCAATCTTTTATTTTTTATTTCATTGAAATGGGAATTATATGCATGAGTTTGCTGATATCATTCTCAAGACCCACAGTACTACAGAAGAAAGGGAGGGAAATACCTTGTCTACACCACCGGTCTGGTGGAATATCTTTGCATTTAGAAATGGAGTAGAATGGTCCGTATCATATATAAAACACCTTTAATTTTTACAGACTTGTATAAGTGGTTTAATTGGCTCCAAGTCGTTAGCTAGGAGTATAAGTATTAGGGTCAATGAAGCAGAGGTGGTGTGAAGAAACATTGTTTAACATCCTAGGTTATTTGAAAACTCATTTTATTGCAGAATTTTAATCTTCTTGATCCTTAAATCCTTAACTCCACTATTCTTTGTAATATTTTGTAACTAACATATATAAAGAAGCTGAGTTAGCCTTTTGTAAACACGTGAATTAAATTAATCATACTACTTGACCTTAATTTTTCTGTTTCTTAAAGCTCTCTAGCTTGCTCTCACTGTGAATGAGCAAGTACTGAACTTTTAGACCTGTACCTTAAGTGAGAAAAATATTTTCATATAAAAATAACATTAGTTGTATAAGTACATTTTTGTAGAAAAATGTAATTGTTGACAAGCAGCAAAGAGGTTTTCTTTAAATGTCTGCTTCAAACAAAATTATGTACATTAACCATCACAACCCCTTTTCAAGGGCTAGAAATATTGAATAGTTTCCAAAACTGTGTCCTGAATCAATGATGCAGATTTTTCCAGAACACACATAATGGAACCCTTTCATCAGTATTCATAAAATGCAGAAAGTATCTTCCAAGGAGGCAAAGTGGCAATGCAGACCCTTCCTCTGTGCCAGCCCTGACACAAGGACATTAGCCATTTGATAAATTTCTTTATCTATTTTTCTACTGCTTTGCAATATAATTAAAAATATCACTTTAATAGAGGATAAAATTCAAACACTTTCACTTAGCATTAGAAGTCTGATCTTCACCATTTGAGTTTAGACTCCACCCCAATACTCCTCTTTCCTGCCACCTTGACACAGCAGTATCCACTCCTGCAAGCTACTTCAAATGCAACCTCCGAGAAATACTCATAGATTTCATTTCTTTGTAACATTTTGCTTGAATTATTCATAGCTTGTATCACACTGTCAATTATTACAATCATATGTACAAATGACTTTTCTACCAGAATTACCATTCCCTCATGTCAGGAAATAGATTATTAATAACCCATCATCCTCAACTCATATGGCTTCTCTTCTATATTACCAAGTCAGTAATATTAAGCTGAATGTCTATTTATGTATCTATTATATATCTATCTATGTATCCTCTCCATCTATCCATTCATCCATATGTTACATAAAATTACAGGAATTGTTAACAAATTTTTAAAAGATGCTTTTACATTTCATGAGAAACAGGTCAGTATTGAGGCTAGTTTTGTCTCACTCCACCCCTGCCAAAGAGAGAGAGAGAGAAAGAGAGAGAGAGAAAGGAAGGAAGGAAGGAAGGAAGGAAGGAAGGAAGGAAGGAAGGAAGGAAGGAAGGAAGGAGAGAGAGAGAGAGAGAGAGAAAGAAAGAAAGAAAGAAAGAAAGAAAGAAAGAAAGAAAGAAAGAAAGAAAGAAAGAAAGAAAGAAAGAAAGAAAGGGAGAGAGAAAGAAAGGGAGAAAGGAAGGAATAGATCAAGAGAGTTTCATTTATGTGAGTCATATCTGAAATAAATAAGAACTATTGGTCTCCAGGGACGAAGAACAGAGAATCCACTACATAATATCTGAATTCCTCTTGCCAGTCTCCAAATGATTTCAAAGGATTAATACAAGACTGAGATTTCAGGTACCCTGAATTATGTGAGGATGAAAAGGGCTACTACCAGAGGCAGGGGCTATATCAAAGATAGATTCTTGCATTGATTGAATGGCTGTTTAAGGAGAGCTGTGCATTAAATAAACTAGATGTCCTTAAGTTTTCTTCCCATTTTAAACTCTACTCTAAACTCTATAATTCTGCCCTAATACCAGAGAGTCTTAATTGAGTAGGTAAGCAAAGAAAAGGGAGGTGGGTGCTGGGTCTAAACCAAGACTTTTATAAAGAGATCAATGATTAATCAATGGGAGAGTCATTTAAGAGACACAGGATTAGACTTTAATTGGAAATGTACAGAAACTATGTAAGGGAGCTCTAAGCATCAAGTAGAAAAAGTTATAGGAAGACGAATACTAAAGCTATAGAACATAAAGTCATCCAGTTATAGGTAAAAACACTAGCAACACCACTATACTTATTTACTAGGTGTGCAAACCAGAATGAGTTCCTTATAATACCAAGGCTTCAGTTTTTGGAAGATGGGCTTAATAATATATTCCAAGAGTTATTGTGAAAGTGAAATTGCATAATTTATCTAAAATCCCTAGAATAATAGTCGGCATAGTAAACAATTAAAGTTTACCTGTTTGTATAACTAGAAAATTAGAATACAGATGGAGCAGATGAAAAAAAACACTTCTCTACCCATCTTAACAAGTGTTCCAACATGTCATCAAATCAGTAATTTTATATGATGAAGAGAAAAGTAAGAATAGCAATATGCTCTTTGATTTACATGAACTATAATGGTCATTTGAAGAACATTTAAATATTTTTTGTTTGTCAATATATGTATCTCGAATTATAAATGACAAATATAATGACTTTCTGTATCATAATTCCAAACAGTGAAAATATTTATCCAAATGAAAAATATGTTACGGGTTGAATTTTGTAAACCTGTTCCAGGAAAATTATTGGTTTCTAGGTATAGACAACTTAAAAGTCTTTAGTAGTTTTTTAATGAAATCACTCTGGAAACGAACTACATATACTTCAAAAAATATTACTGCTGGATCATTCTATTAAAAAGAAGATAATGTTTTCCTGAAGTATGTGTCAGCAGCTGTTTTTCATTGCTTTCAAATGTACTTAACTTTGCCTCATCATTCCTTTTGCTCCAATTTCTTTAGATGTTCCTCTCTCTTGGGGACTCTTCACGTTGCTTTTTGAGTGAGAGAAGGGCCTTTTGGAGACCCCTGTGGCAGTGAGCCATGGCAGATCCTGGGCTGCTTAGGTTTACTCACCATTTTCCAGGCCAAAAATAATCTAGGTTAGAATTAGAGAGCATTTTTCTAAACCTAGGTTTCACATTATTTAATATTTTGTTTTCCTTATTTAAACTTATGATTTTGTTTTTCCTGTAAGTAAACATATTCAGCTGCAATTGACATTAAAGAACTTCAACTTTGTCTCTAGCCCTTCACAGTTTTAGGTGTTTCTTTTCAGCATCTGTTATGTGAATCTTACCATGACATAAACTGGCATGAGACCTAAAATAAATATTCAGTAGCGTGAGATGTTTAATATCCCACTACATTTTAACATATTTAATATGTTCATAATCAGTCAAACAAAAACAAATGTTATTTTAAAGAACAACCTAAATTTCCATAGAAACAATTTGATTATGATGAATCCCAGTAGGCTAATTACACCTTTTGGGTGTAATCCAGTATTTCTCTGGATGAGACATTACTTTGACTTTTACATTCTCTCTCAACCATAAAGAGAAATAAATGTAGTACTATAATCAAAAGTGCCATTTAAGACAAATTCTCATTAATGAGCTCTGTATTCTTTAAATTTAAATGCGTCTGAACAAGCATTCTATTTATCCCAGATTCACCAATGATTTAGCATTTCTACGATTTGCTTAATGACGAAATAGAAGATATACTGATGATATAGCAAAGCAAATAGTTTGTGCTCAATAAGTGTTATTATCAGCCTTATTACTATATAATAGAAGACAATGTAGATGCTAGGCTTAAGTATATAGATATTCTGGAAAGAAAATTCAGCTAGTATAATTTCAAGCAGCAGCATGTTCAGTTACAAATGGATTGCAGTCTGTTGTGATATAGCTCCAAAAACAGTCTTATGAAATTCAAGATACTTATATATAAAATCTATTTAATAATTTCTTTTTAATCTAATTACATAGATCAAAAGAAGGAAATAAATTATAATTGATCTGGTTCTTAATCAAAATATCCTACCAAATATTCATGGGAGGTAAACCATGATCTTTTCTAATGAGTCAATTTTAATTTTCATTCTACTTATTTATTTATAAATGTTTAGATTTGTCATTTTCCTCTAAAATCATCATGACCTTTGATGTAGTTCTGAGTAAAGAAAAAAAGGAAAAGGCATTGTTCTAATCAGTACATTATGTAAAATATTGAAAAGTTATTGTAAAAACAAATGTTCTTCTTATATATTTATTTTAACATGTCAAAAGAAAACCGATGGAAAATTGTATCAAAATCATACTTTTAAAAAAGTTTTATTTATTTATTTTTAGACAGAGGGAAAGCGAGGGAGAAAGAGAGGGAGAGAAACATCACTGTGTGGTTGTCTCTTGAGCGCGCCCCCTACTGGGGGTCTGGCCTGCAACCCAGGCATGTGCCTTGACTGGGAATCGAACCCGTGACTCTTTGCTTCGCAGGCTGACACTTAATCCACTGAGCCACACCAGCCAGGGCTCAAAAATCACACCTGACTATTCAACTCTACATAATAAAGTTATATGGTTCTTATGGTACTATGATTATCTTTAGGATAAACACATATTTATACAGATGTTTACATTACAATGGCCAGGTCAGATTCTCAAAAGGCAATGAAATGAATACTGATTCCTAGAATGCAAGACTAGGACTAAGCTTTAATAGTAGGAAATGCTATATAATAATATAATTATTAGTAATTAATAATGGAATTAATTGGTAATTAATAATGTATAATACTAATTAT